CCCCAGGGGCGGGTTCACTCCCAGGTTCACTCCCTATATCTGACAATCCCTCCCAGTGCTTTTGGGTTAGCATTCCCTGTTGTCAAGCCTCCTTCAGACCGGTATGATTGGCTGCTTGGGATTCTATGAGTGCCCTCACCTGTCTGCCCCCTACTGCTTGCCATTCATGAGTCGTGGAATTGTTCATTTCATGGACTAGTGACAGTGGTGAGGTGGCATTACAGTGTGGTTAATTTGCATTTATCTTATAATAAGTGATTGTCAACATTTTTTCATGTTTGCAAGCTATCGGAATGTCTGCTTTGAGATTTTTGTTTTTAAAGATTTATTTATTTATGCATACAAGAACTGGGGTACAGGCCAGAGGTGGGGGGTAGTCACCAGAGACAGAGTGAGGAACAGAACAGGCAGACTGACTGAAATACACTGCTGAGGGGAGCAGCAAGTGACTCAAGAGAGGTCTGCTGTGCCATGGGAGTAGCTCCCTGGCCGGCCTGTGGATTGAACTCATGCTGCAGAGGCTGCTGATGGCTTCATAGTGGGGGAGGTTCCCTGCCCCACCCAAGGGAGGGTGGAGCTGAGCAGGAAGAGGAGAAGCTGGAGAAGAGACTGAGGAAAAAGGAAGCAGGATGGAGCCAGAGGAGACCTGGAGGAGGCGCATGGAGCCTAGAGACACGTGAAGAAACTGCGCTTGTCTTTTGGTCGTGGACTGGGTGACACAGATGTGGGTGAGACCCGTGGGGAGGTGACAATGGAAGCTTTTATCTTGATGTTGATTTTGCTCTTTTCCTTCTGGGCTTGTCTGGTTGTTTCTGACCCTTTTCTGTGGGTCCCCACTGGAAGATGCTTTAGACTTGTGGCAGGCTTTGGGGCCTTGTTCTGGGCCGATCCCACATGGATGGACTTTTACCCACAAGGGGACGGGTAACTTTGGGTGCTTCATTTAGAAACTAGACTCTTTGCCTTACCTGTATTGTTTCCTAGTTTTATTAAAGTTCCTTCCCATTAAAGTCTCATATGTTTTGTGTTGATGCGGCGGATGGCAGAACCCATTTAAAATAGGCAATAGGCAGGTTGCGGGGTTTGGGCTGCCCCTCTCCCTGTCCTATAACAATAGTGCTGTGCTTAACCCCTTGCACCACCAGGGAGGCCCTGCTCTGAGATGTTTTATTGAGGTTCTTTGACCATTTTTATTTGTGTCACTTGTTTTTTGTTCTTGGTATGTGTAAATGCTGTGTATATTTTGGAGATTAACCCCTTGACAGATATAGTATGCAAATGCTTTTTCCCATTCTGTAGGTTACCTTTTTGTTTTTGTGATGGCTTCTTTTGTGGTATGAAAGCCTTAAGTTTAGCTAGTGCTACTTGCTTATTTTTGCTCTTGATTCCCTTCTTGCTGGAGTTGTATTCCCAAGTATAACTTTGTAGTAAGGTTCCTGTAGTGGGCCTCTATGTTTTTCATTCAAGTACTTTGTGTTTCTGTTATTGTGTTCAAGTCTTTAATCCATTTTGAGTGAATTTTCCTGTTAGTTATTTATTGACTTTTGACAGTATTTAGTTCATTTATCAAATGAAATTCTTTTTGCTAATGGGACAGATTTTTTTAATTGATATAATTATTAATTTAATGTAATTGTCAATATCAATTTAATTTCATCAATAATTATTTTACAACATATATGATTTTCTTCCAACTTGGGTGATTTGACTTCCTGTATTTGTGTATAATTTTTAAATTCTTTTTAATTTGGTGTTTGGTTTCTCATGTAAATCACCAGTATTTAATGTTCTTTTCCTTTTTTGAGATACCTTAACTTTTTTAAAGGAGATCTTTTGCAAAAAAGTAATTTTTATGCTCCAGACAACCAATAATCTTGTTAACACAATAGTGACAAATAGTCCAAATATCTTAATATTAGCCAGTTTAATATTAAGAATGTCAAGCGATGATACAATATTAGTATTTACTAATGTAAAATAAACAATTTCACATACTGTATTTTCCCTTCTGCATTCTCACATAACTTTTTAAAAGTAACATGAATACATAGCTATTTAAAAAATAACACAATACTAGCCTCTAAATGCATTTTATACAAGGAATTTTCACATCAATTTAAACATAAATATCATCCAGGGAGTTTAAATCAAAACATCAGAAGCCTATTAAAATGCATTTTCAGTTCTACATTTTCTTAAGAGCACTTCTAATCCTAATATGGATATGGTGTGGAGTTCATGTACATGAAGTACTTTATCTTCTAGACAGTTGTCTTATCAGAGCACCTGCAGAAGTCCCAGCCTCTGGGGTTGGGGAGGCGGGTGTGTGTGAGTGGGATGGGGGAGTCAAGTTCTTGGGAAAGCCTGTGTCTGAATGGGGTTTAAGCAAATTGTAGAGTCCATGCATAGCTGCTGCTCTTCATTCCTCACCTCCCTCATGCTGACAATGGTCTGCTTTCTTTCCTCTGAGTAGGAAACCTGCAGAGGCAGCTGGCTTGTGATATTTTGTGTAGGCATGTGAGCTATATTCAAATCCCATGCAAAGATACTCAGAAGCCTTTCTTAGTTCAAGTCAAGAATATTTGTTTCAAGTTTGTATTATACCTAAAAAGGGGCACATACTTCTGATATTTCTTTTATTTAATTTCTTCCAGAATAAGTCAAGTGCTGTCAGAGAGGTTTTAGCTTTTTAAGTTCACTATTCATTTTGGAGTCATCCATGCATGCATACATATAAAACTTAGTATTTTGAAAGACAATAATTTTTCTACCACAATTGAATTCACAGTAGTGGAAAGCAAGAACACAGTAATTTTTCATCTAGCAGTCAACAGACTTTATAGTTCAAATAACTTGTAATTTGGATTTATAACAGCTAAAAGATGAAAACTTTTTAATTGCCTTCAGTATTAAGGAGTGATTTTATGAACCGAAGACTTCAGTCAGCAAAATCATACATCTCTGTCAGGTAGACACACAAACATACAACCCAAATATCATTAATATCTGTTAAAATTATAGCAGTTATTTCAAAATTAATTCAAAGTAGTCTGCTTAAAAAAATAGATATTCTCCACGTCAAAAATCCCAAAGCCAATCTTCGTTTTTGATTGAAAGACCAACATTTCTTCAATCAGTATATTTTCCTCAGGAAATTATTATGCAGTTCAGGAAAAAAAAAAACAACAGAACACAGCAAGATGGCACTCTTTTTGCTATATTGTCACCCTCTATATTAGCCTAGGCTGCTTTTTGTTTTCCCAAAGCATGTTGACGAAAAGAAAATATCAATACTTATATATAACTTATTCTGATTTTATGGATTAGCACCTAGTTGAGAATTCTCTTTCTAACAAAAAAGGATACCATGTTAACTCTCATAATCACTCAAGAATTTTTTAAAGATTTATTATGCATACAAAAACTGGGGTACAGGCCAGAGGTGTGTGGGGGGGCGGTGAGAGGATTCACCAGAGTGGGGAGCAGAACAGGCAGATCCACTGAAATAACACTGCTGAGGGGAGAGGTCTGCGGAGCCAGGTGGGTCACCTCCGAACTCACGAGTTCATTCAGGATTTTAATGGAAGAAAGAAGGGTGGGGAAATCAAGTGCCATGGGAGAATAGCCCCAGGAAACCCAGGAAAGAGGCAAGAGGTAAGACCCTTTAGTCTCCTTCTAGTTCCCCGGAGGTTCTAGTTAAGTATTTCCATAAGCAACTGTCTTGCTAAGATACAGCTTTAGCCACCACAAAGGACTGCAGGAGCAACACAAAAGCCATGTCCTGAGGGAAGTCTTGTGTTCAATCCCAAAGATCACGACTCCTCTCCAAGACCTTGTCTGTTTCATTGGCTTCCCCCAGTGAGTGCCAGCTCCCCATGCTGATCCTTCGCTCCTATTTAGTTCCCAGAGTCTCTCTACCTCAGCCTGGACCATTGGTGCAAAGACCATGGTGAGTATGGGACTTCTCTCAATCATGGCCCCTGGTGAGCAAGGCTCTATGAACCCAACAATGTGTGAGGAGGACTCACTGCTGAAAAATACCCTAGTTTAATGTTGGGACCAGTGGGAGGAGCTAGTGCAATTATAAAGGTAACTGGGTATACATACAGCTAGTTCTCTGACAACTGGAGATCAGAGATCAGTTCTCTGACAACAGGAAAGAGAGAAGAGCAAAACTTGGCAACTCAAGTTTAGTTGACTTTGGATCTCTTTGACAAAGAAGCTATACAATGTTTTCTTTTAGCGCTCACTATCTTCCCGCTCACCCACTCCCTTCCACATAACTCCTAATCTCCAGCACTTATTTTTTGGCTCTCTATGCTGATTCTGATCCTTTCCCCCTAACAATTCTACCACCAACCAATCAGTAAACCCATTTATGTGTCATTGTTACATCACATATCATGGTTATCTAGAGGATGGCACCCTGTGTGCAGGCTTTGTTCCTGGGCACCCCAATGTGAAATGGGTTGCCTGACTGTGGGTCCTCACCCGCATGCTTAAAAGGGACTTACAATTTATAAGACTCAACCTCAGGCACACACAAAAAGGTTAATAATAAAAGGTTTATTTACCTAAAAAAAAAAGGGGGGGGCGATGAAGAAAGGAATAACTCAGAAAAAAAAAGAGATAAATTTGTGAATGCAGCCTACCAGTTCCGCTGAGCTGGGACCCCAACAGCGCGTTGAATGGCGCAACACCCCCGCTTCCCCCCAGGCCTACATATCTGGTCATACACTAAACCTGGCTGCTTAACTCCACCCTCAGGTCCCAGCAACCCTCCCTTTGTTAGGGGGAAAGGATGTCCTGAGCTAATTCCATGCAGGCTTTGTGGACTCCACCCCCACTCCAGACCAAAGCCATCAGGACATTGGGAAAGACAAATCCCATCACTACCAAAGGGAGGGTGGCGGGGACCTGAGGGTGGAGTTAAGCAGCCAGGTTGGGTATAAACACCAGACACATGGGCCTTGGGGTCTCTCTCCTCTTGGCTTCACGGCTGGTGGTCCACGGCAGCTCTCAAGAGTGCCACTGGGATTCCAGGGCAGCGGAAAGGGTAGGATGCATTTAAGACTTTATTTCCCTCTTTTCTCCCTGAGTGGTACATTTCCTCATTTCCCCTTCCCTTGTAAATAAACCTTTTAGTAACGTTTTGTGTGTACCTGCAGTAGAGTATTAATAAGTCCTTATTAAGCCCGCAGGTGAGGACCCACAGTCAGGCAACCCGTTTTATATCGGGGCTGCTCCGTAACACCTTCAGTGGTGATGCCATTGTGGGATTTGTAGTCCTTGGTGTTTTGGCTCTCTTCAGGCTGGGGTGGGGGTGGGGTCCATAAAACCTGTTTGTGGAGTCTGCTCAAGACATCCCTTCCCACCAACAGTTTGTTTCCTTTTACCTCTAGAACACACATTTCCTTTGGTTATCCTGTGTGGCTAGATGATTACACGGCAGAGTGTGTAGATGTGTGGACCTCTGCTGATAGTTGAATCCCGATGGTGGTTTAAATCAAACATCTTTACATGCAAGCTACAGACTGTGTGTGTGGGTGTGGGTGTGTATATGTGGGTGTGTGTGCATAGTAAGAGACTGAGGCATTCCTTAATGTGGTTTTTTTTTTTTTATTTTATTTTAAAGAACCACTCACTGACTTTTTGTTTCCCTCCCTCCTGAGACGAGGGTCAGTCAGCCAGGAGCAGTGTTTATCATTGCCTTGTTTGGCCCTATTTTGTAGTTGGTCAATCCCTCTGTCTTTCTCTTACCTCTCCTGATAATAGGATTCTCCCAAAAATGGTCAGTTTTCTCGGTCCAGGAATTGTCTCAGAGTCAATGGTTGTGAGACCAGCAACTCTCTGACTCTGGAATTCAGAAGCTTCAGAGGAGAATAACAAGGTGTCTTCTCAATAATTCTCCCCCAGTCCAAGTTTTCTGTGCTAATAGCACTCCAGCTGTTTTATGGGCAATAATGCCCACAGAAATCAATGAAAATTACATTTCCTCTTTTCCCCTGCAGCAAGAGGTTGTTGGCTGTCATTAACCCAGCCCTGGAGTCAGGCATAAACAAAAGTTTTTGGATGGGGTTTTTGGGAAAGATTTTTAAAAATGGAGCTGAAGGCTGACAAATGCCCTTTGCACTCTGCTCTTCTTCCTTGCTCAATTGTAGTTGTAGTGCTGGGGGTGGAGCAGCCCTTTCATAACCATGGCAACTCTGAGGGAAAGGTTAGGATGTCACAGAGATATCAATCCTGACATCACCGTGCTGCTGAACCAGAGCTCACTTCCGCCTACCTCTTGTTACGCAAGAAAAGTCCTTAATTTGTTGAAATCACTGGTTTGGGGGCATTCTTAACCAGCAGCTCAATTTAATTCTTAACTGACACAGGACTAAAAGAGCAAGATGAGATAATGTACTGTGTTGGCAAATTGTATTTAGCATAAACATTGTGAAGGAATTCTAGGTAGCCAAGATAATGGTAACGGCATAAATCTGAACCACCGAACATATCTATCCTTCCTCCCCAAAGCACATTAAGAACAAGAAGTCCAAATAAAACTACAGAAAATCCATCTTCAGCAAACAAATTTCAAATTAGTAGCAAATTAAAAAAAATAAAACAAAACCTAGAAAACCGTTTCCAACACTCCTGATGTAAACCTTTCAGGAATAAAGTCAGTGTTGGGGAAACCTGTGCAGAAAATAGAAAAGTGGTGGAGTTAAGATTGATCTGAAACCACCACCACCAGGAGAATGTTCACCCCAAGCTTGAAGATAATGAAAAAACACACTGACACATCAGAGCACTTCCTACCAGAAAGGAACTTAACAGTGTGTGCGGGATGCAAGGAGGCAGCTTTGGCAGCTTTGGAGGCAGCTTATAAAGCTTCCAGGTATAAAGGATCAAAAGGAGAGTTGAGGATTCCTCCAGTAATCATGCAGGGTGGCAGGGAATAAAGATGAAGGGAAAGTTTAGTATAAACTGCCAGACCCTCTCTTCCTCCCAAATGAAAGGCAACCCAATTCCGGCTATCATGCCTCTTTCATAAATGTATTAATCTTTTTAATGAATTACTCAATTAATTACTTGACTAATTAAAAAGGAAAAGAAAAGAAAGAACTCATACTTTACTACACTGACAGGAGAGGGCACTCTTGAACTAGGAATCTTGCAGTCATCCCAAACTCCAGCCCTTCCCACAGAAATGCAGATCATTCTTCATTTAATTACTAAAATAAAAAATTTTAAAAATCCAACCTATTTAACTGATAAATATTCCTTCCCCAAATAATGATGAAGTGGAACAAAACTCTTAACACAATTCTCCAAACCGAATTGTATATCTTGACTAATCAGCATTTGGGACTATGAAAAATAGCTTGAATTGCAGATTTTAAAAAGTAAATACAGAAATGGAAAAAAAAAACAGGAAAAAAATGAAATGAGAATTTCTTGAACTCAGGAGATAAAAGAAAAAAATGAATAACATACTGAATTGCCTATCAGATTTCAGATAATATGTACTAAGTTTTTTGTATATGTAAAAGCCACATGACAGAAATCATTTGCATGTTCCTTGAGGATGGTGTACACAGACATTCAAATAATATCTCTACCCTATAGCTTTTTAGAATTCATGCTAATTGGATATGACCTCTGAGGCATGCAATAAATAGTGTCAGCTGTTACTGTAATTATCACCTCTACTAGCAATTGATTGGGTAAGAACAGCAGAGGGGAGATAGTCCCAACTAAAAAGTCTGGTGCAAAAAAACAGAGTTTACCATGCCCTAATGCTCACTGATGTCAGTGTTTCGACTTTCCAGATGAGGAGATTCAGGGAGGCCACATGGTGGCTGAAGGTCCCTCACATCCAGTTAATGATGGATAAGACATATGGAAAGCCTTTCCTTTACTCCCTCCCTCTTTTCCTTCTTCCTGCTCTCTTTCCCTCTGTCTCTCCTTCCCTCCCTCCCTGCTTTCCTTCCCACATGAACTATTTAGAGATCACCCTTAGATTCCAAGAGACCCCTGGAACTCGACATGTGTGAAGTTGAATTCCACACCTTTTTTAACTCTGTACCTCCTCCCAGTCTCCAACCCAGTATCAAACAGTCCCTGACATCATCCTTTCCTTTATCTTTTGTCCCAAATCATTCTTAAATTAAAATCAAAGCAAGAATTAAGTTCCTAGTACATGCTACCACTGATCATGGGACTGGGGAATAAGATCCACTTTCTATACTACAGGCTTGGTGGAAAGTCCTGTCTAATCAGCACATGCAACTGTCCTTTTGTCACTACTATCATCCTTTCCATTCCCATTACCACTCCCCAAGTTCAAGTTAGGATTTCCTCTTTCCTAGACTAATGAATCAGCCTCTTAAGATAATCTCTCTGAAATCAACCTGGTAAAACTTTTCTAATCTTGCACATTTTGGAGCTTACCATATATTTTGCTGTTTCTATGTTTCTCTCTCTCCTAAATACCCTCCTCTGACCACCCCATGCTACATGTTACCTGTACATTAAGGACTATCTCAAATCCTTGGTCCTCCTTGATGTTTTCCCTGATTTTCTGAGCCAGGAATGTGTCTTCCTTCTCTGAACTGATGCAAAGTTGTCCTCTGTTCCTATGCTCTAACAGCCATCCCTTCTGTCTATGCAGGTTGTTCCATAAAGTATTAGGGTGTGAAAAAACAGCTTTGTGTGATAGGAAAGTAGATCAGTGATCAAGAGAGATTATGCCATCATTAATTTATTTGTATCATACTTTTTTTCCTCCGGAGATTTGATAAAACAATCTACTGGAGAAGTTGAATATGCTAGGGCTACTACATTTTGTTTGGTTCTCCAAAGGGAAAATTGTGTGACTTCTAGAAAGTATTATGAGTTCTCCAGATCTCGGCTTCATTATCTAGAAAATAGAAAAGTTATACTAAATGACCTTAGTCCTCTTCCAGAGCTAACAGTCTATAATTAAGCTTTCTACGCTGGATGGCATCGTCCATTGATAGGCTAATCTAACCCCCATTCCTAGCTCCTCTTCTTTCCTTGCCTTTTCTAAAGAATTGGAAAAGCGGGCTATCTGCCTTGCAGCTAGAGCTAGCCATGTGACACAGTAGTGACCAGTGAAATTCAGCAGACTCTTCTAAGGGAAATTCTGGGAAATATTTGCTTTCCAAATAGTCAAGACAGGCACAGCTGACATCACTCCTGCGGCAGACAGAATTCTTAGGTAACCCCTGGTGCACATACCGTATATAATCTCTTCTTTTGCATATGGGTGGAGCCAAGGGTATCGCTCCCATGTTTGGTAACTACATAGTCACCTTTGAGTCAACCAGAAGGGAGATCATCCTGGGTCTCACACCATCAGGTGAGCTTTTTAAAAGAAAGATGATTTCCTATTGGCCTCTAGAAAGAAAGCAAACACTGTCATGAGCAGCCTCAGAGCAGCCTCTAGTTGCTGAGGGTCACAGCCCTAACAGCTGAATTCTACCAATAGCCAGTGAGCTTGACAGAGAAACCTGAACCTTCAGGGAACTTAGTAAACTAATGCCCAGGCTCCTGACCCATAGAAGCTGTGCCATAATAAATTTGCATTTTTCAAACTGCTGTTTGCGACAACTTGTTCTGCAACCATAAAAAATGAATATAACTCCTTTCTACCTGATTGCAAAGGCTGGGCACTTAAAAAAAAACTATCTTGTAATCATGAAGGGAAGCTCAAATGAATTACAGAGCCCCAGGCCCTGACTTATTGCCCTTTAAGCCAAAATCAGCAGCTGCTTTTTTCCAACCTTTTTTTTTTTTACACTAGAAAAAAAAAATCTATTTGTGCAAGCCAATGTAAGTTAGCAAGCTTTCTTTTACTTGCAGTGGAAATCATTTCCAACTGATAAAGCAGAATTCCAAAAGCAGCATGAGCAAATACTTATTTATTCATTGGCAAACATTTACAAGGAATCTGTAATGTTCCAGATAAGAAAGAAAAAAACCACACCAGAAAAAAAAAACAAACCAAAAAACCCAACTTTGCCCTCAATAAGCCCATAGCTG